CGCTAGCGCCGCGGTGCCGGCCAGGCGGGGTGCCTGGCGTTGGTGAGGGTATTGCGTGTGCAGGGGAGGCCGGGACAGCTGGAAGGAAAGCCGGGATGCGGTCCCGGCGGTGTCTGGGGGGCTCGTTTACCGCCGGAGAGCCGCCCGGTCACCGAAATGAAGCGTGGGTGGGCAGCCGCCTGGCTGGCAAATGGGGACTCGTACCCCCTCCCGCGGTACGGCCAGCGGGGCTGTGCGCGGGGCCGGTTCGGCTGACCGCTGACCCAGAAGCAGGAAGGTATTGACTTGTATGGTGCAAGCCCCAGCTCCTGCCCGAGCCTGTGAGCAAGACGGGGAGTGTAGGGCAGGGGCCAAGGGTGGGACAGGCCGTGCCTTTCGTGCACATGTCGGACTACAGTGAGTGGGGAACTGGGGCTTGAATGGACCAAACCACAGAACTGCAGGAAAAAAAAATCTATTCCTTACCTGTGTGCAAACAGGTATTTGCACCAAGAAGTAGCATGCAGGGACCTCACAGCAGCAGCTGGTCTCCTTTATTAGTAATGACAGTAGTGGTGGCATTGTTCCAGCTGTGGCAAATTAAAGTCTTACCTGCCTTCCTTCCTCACAACACTAATGGTTAATTTTTTATTGCTATAGTGTTCCTCTTGTGGCAGTATCCCCAAAACAGGGTCCTGGAATGGGGGGCTGCTTGTGTAAAGACTGTAGCTGTCAGACTGCTTATGCATACCATAAAGGCAAGTTCTCATAGGGGCTGCTTGTTTCTGTGCTGGGGGTAATGAAGATGGTAAGGAGGGCACCCACCCCTTTGCCTGGAGGTAGGAGGTAAGCCAATCTTGAGATCTTTGCTGTGGGGTATTCCCTCTGCTGCTTCCCTGGGCTCTGTTTGACTTCATTTTGCGCAGGAGGGCAGTGGAGGCCTGATTCTTCCCACAGTTTCACTGTGCAGCAAGGGCAGGGCAGGCCCCACACTGCTGCCTGCACAGGTGCCCCACGCAGCAGGGTCCAGGGCTACTGTGAAGCTTCAGTGCCAGCATTTGCCCAGGTGGGAGCTGGGATCTCCTCACAGCAGCACTCCTACAGAGCAGGGAGCCACCCACCCTGGGTGCTGCTGGCTGCTCAGGAGAGGTATTCTGTTGTTTGTGTGGTGGTTTTCCAGAGAAATTGGAGGAGGGCTGGTTGTGGCCTCTCAGAGACAGTGATGAAAAGCAGCCATCAATAGAGAAGTGGGAATGGGTGCTTAGGGAAACCCACAGTGGCTCCAGGGACTGTGAGTCAGAAGGAAGGGGGGCCCTAATTTCTGATGGATCACAGCAGGAAAGTGGGGTAGTTGTTCTGTTTGTCTCCATTAAAACACAGTTCCAAGTGTGATATGCAGCAGCTGTTTTGTAAAGTTTCATCTCCTTTGTCTCTTGCAGCCATCCTGTTTGTTTTTCTTCCCTCCCTGTCTGACTGTGCCTGTCTTCTTTAAGAAACTGGCTTCCCTCTGGCAGGGTTTGCCTTTTCTGGCCTTTGCATCTTTCAAGTGTTTTCCTTCTAATTGTACCTTGCGAGTTTTCTCCTTCCCTGCTCTTAGCAGCTCAGCCCTGACTCTGTGGGCCCTTGTCTACTCAGTGGGGATGGTGACAGTGTGGAAGACCCATGGAGGCAAGGTCTTCTGTGAACACACCCGCTGACCTAGGACTTGTGGTTTATGAACAGAGGGAGGAATAAAAGAAGTCTCTCTCTAGGAGACACTAAAGGTTTTCCTGCAGGGAACCAGGGTGACCCACCCGTGGGGTGGAGAGCCAAGGGCTGGAGATGATGGTTGGTGTGTCTGTGGCTTTCTGGGACCAAGGACAGGCAGGAGTGCTGTGCCTGTATATAGGCATGTCTGCTTCTGCCTTGCCACGGGCACGGACTGGCCTAGTAGCTCTGGCCTGTGGAGATGTGCAGCTCTGTGAAGTGGACTGCGGTGGCAGAGCTGGTTAGCTGCCGCCTGAGTCTTTTCTTGTATCGATCCTTTGTTACTCTCAGGGTGTGAGTAATTGGGTTTGTAACTGTGGGCTGGGATTAGGGCAAGCAGTCTGCATTCTGCCAGAGGGGAACCTGTGATTTGCTAGCCCAAGGGATTCAGGCTGTACTCTTGCCTCCTTTTCTAGACTAGAAGAGCTGCAAACCAGTGCCATTTTCATGGTGCCCTGAGGAGAATCCACTGATGGTGATCAGCTGGTGCTTAGCCACAGTGGCTTGTGGTAGCACCAAATGTCCTGTGAGTCTCAGCACTGACTAGCTCAGCTGATGGCAACAAGGAACACATGTGGAAGCCAGGAACTGATTTCACAACAATGAGACGCTTCACTCACCCACTGCTCAGGAGGTTGTTGGGTCTCTCACCTCAGCGCGTGCAAGGGGGATTGAGTCCAAGTAAAGGTCCTATCCTCAGTCCAAAGCAGTTGTCTCTGAGGCAGGGCTGCAGTGCAAGACCTGAGCTCGTTAATGCCACTGATGTGGTCAACTACTGGCAGAAGGTGTTTGAGACCAATGGGATCCCTGAAGCACAAGAATCTAGTGAATATATCGTGTCATTTGTCCTAGGAGCAAAAACAGTTAAGTAATAGGAAAAGAATGAGGTCTGTGCATGCCTCTCACTTTGTCGTTTTGGTTGAATCCCTTACCTTCCTTTTTATCTCACTTACAGGAAGTAGAACAACTTTTCCCTACCTTAGATGGGAGAGAGGGTGAGGCGTAATTAATGCCAGTAGAACACTTGGGGTCTCCTAAATGCCTTCTTTTGCAGAGAGTAAAATGGAACCCATGACATATACAGCCACACTGTACCCTGACTTGCTAATTTTACCTATTCTTCTGAACCCCAAAAAGTAGCAGAAGAACAGTTGTGCAGGTTTGTTTTTAAACATGCAGACAGGTTCTCCTGATCATTTGTGGTTTCCAACAGTCCCAGGCATATGTGTTTGTCAGCATGCTGGGTCTCCCTGGAGGATGCCCTTGGGAGGGTGCAGAGGACACTGAAGTGGCACCAGTGGGCAGGTTTTAAAGTGACCTTGTCTTCAGTTTCAGAGCTTGAACTCCAAAAGCCTCCACACTCCGCTTACAGCAGTGCAGCAGGAACAAATCCAGCAGCTGAGCAGCAAGCGACTAGAAAGGTAGGAGCATCCTCTTACAGTTGTTCCTTTGGAGGGCTTTCCTTCAGTCTTAATGCAGCCAGAAGAATGGCAGCGGAGAGAAGGCAGAAGACCATTAGCAGCTGACATGTCAAGTAACAGTGCTGTGTCCCATGGTGACTCAAGCGATGGGTATTTGCTGTCAATATCAGGTAGCAAATCACCTGTCTGTCCTGGCTGGGAGCAAAGGGGGATGATCAGCTAGAGGAAGTTGCTCAGAGCCATGCCCAATTCATTTTTTAATACATCCAAAGATAGATAATATGCAACCTCTCTGGACAGCCTGTTCCAGGGTTTGACCATCCTCACAGTGTTTAAAAAAAAAAAGGAAAAAAAAAAGGGGGGGGGATAGTTCTTAGGTTAAATGGTATTTTCTGTATTTCAGTCTGTACCCTTTGCCTGCCTTTTCACTGGATACCACTGGAAAAGAGTCAGGCTCCATTGTCTTTACTCCATCTCACCAGATACATATGGTTATTGATGAGATTTCCCTCGCTTACCCCCCAGCTCAAGCCTTTCTTTCTCAAGGCTGAACTGTCCCAGCTCTCAGTCTCTCCTTGTGTGTCAGATGCTCCAATCCCTTAATCATCTTAATGGCCATTTGTTGGACTTACTTGTATGTCCATGTCTCTCCTGTACTGGGAACCCAGGGCTCCAGATGTTTCCTACCAGTGCTGAATAGAGGGGAAGGATCCCGTCCCTTGACCTTCTGGCAACACTCTGCCTAATGCAGCCCAGGAAACCACTGGCTGCCTTTGCTGCAAGGGTACATTGCTGGCTCATGGTCAACTTGTCCACTAGATCCCTTGGGCCTTTTCTGCAAGTCTGCTGTCCAGCTGGTTGGCCCCCAGCCTGTACTGGTGTATGGGGTTATTCCTCTCCAGTTTTTAGGGCTTTGCATTACCCTTTACTGAATTTCATGAGGTTCCTGTCAGCCCATTTCTCCATCCTCCTGAGGTCCCTCTGAAAAGCAGCACACCCATCTGGGCTATTAACCATTCCTCCCAATTTTCTGTCCTCTGCAGACATGCCAAGGGTACTCTCTGTCCCTTCATCCAGATCGTTAATGAAGATGTTATGCTATATTGGTCCCACTATTAACTGCAGGGGTACTCCACTAGTGATTGGCCTTCAGCTGGACTTTATGCTGCTGAACACAGCCTTCCAAGCTTGCCAGTTCAGTCAGTTTTCAGTCCACCTCATTTATATAGACCATACTTCATCAACTTGTATATAAGGATGTTATGGGAGACAGTATCAAGAGCCTTAGGAAAGTCTAGATAAAGAGTATTGATTACTCTCTCCTCATGCGCTGAGTTAGTCTTTGTGTCATGGGTGGCTGTTAGGTTGGTCAGGAAGGGTTTCCCCTTTATAAATCCACACTGACCACTCCCAGTCACCTTCCTGTATGTGGTAGGTTTGGAAACGATCTTTAGGGCTATTTGTTCCATCATGTTCCCCAGTATGGAGGTGGTCCCAGGTCCAGTGCTTCATAGCAAACTCTTCCATGGGAACAGAGCTCCCACAGCTCCCTTAGAGTACACATGCACGTTGCACATGCGGTTGAGAGCCTCAGGGGTGTCTAGGTGCTCACACTCAGTAGGGTTATGTGGTTAGTGATGAGGTAAGCATGGTATTGAGAGCTTTTCTGTGTTATGGAGTGTAGTCCTAAAGTGTTCACATTTGCTTTTGCCTGCCACAGGATGCCGGTGCAGTATGTGATTGGTGAGTGGGACTTTCAGGACCTGACTTTGAAGATGAGACCCCCAGTATTTATTCCTCGGCCTGAAACAGAGGTATGAATGTGGGGAACGTGGCAGGGGCAGGCTTGAATCTGTGAATTACATCATACAACACAATCATAGCCTTGCTATGAAGAAGGCACTCTGTATATCATGAAGGTTGTAGCAATGGGGAGGTCAGATCACTTCTTTCAGAACAGAGGGGGATTCTAAGCTTATGATCTGGAACTGATGCTGGTGAACTTTGCCTCCTGGCTCAGAGCAAGAGATGTTGCAAGCTAGCATATCACTTAATTACACAGAGATCCATCTCCACTGATGGAAAGACATGGCTTTCTTTCCTTATTTCTACTATACTTATGACTCCTAGAAGTTCAAAACCTGTATTGCTATATCCCAGTGGCTTAGTACTTTGATATAAGGACAAGAATTTCGAAGATGTACAAAGGCTGTTAGCAAAATCCTGCAGTAGTAGAAAGCTGCTACTGGAAAATGGTAATGGGCTTCAGAGAGTTTGTTTGTCCATGTGCAGACTAAAACAGTGCAGGCTGGTAGGAAATGGCACCTTCCACCTGTCCAATGGCTCCGCAGTAGTTTGTGGATAAACACTGGAAACTGAAGGGCAAGTTCTGACCTGGGCTGGAATTAAATATGAATGTCATTCATAAGAACGTAAAGGACAGCCATACATGATGAAGTTAAAACTCTGTTTTCCCCATTGTCCCTGCTACTAGGGAAAACCTAAGAACAACATGGTGACACTTGCCCTGACAGTAACCTAGCTTTCAGCTCAGGGACCATCCTAGCAAGGAAGTCTTTCTGTCTACAAGTCCTCAGGAGGTTTTAGGTTTTGTGAGGGCTTTTTTTGGTTGTGGGTTGGTTCTTTTTTGGTTTGGTTTTTTTTGGTTTGGTTTTTTGGTTTTTTGTTGGTGGGGTTTTTTTTTCCCTTCTGAGAATTTATTTTCTTTTGGCACCTGTGTTAACTTCTGGAGATGAAGTGGTCTCCATAGCCTGTCCATTTAGGAGTCCCAGAAGCTTAAACCTGTTTAATAGTTATTTCTTCAATCGTTTGCCTGCTGCTTGGTGACTGTTATAATGTGCTGGCAGCCCTCTGCTCAGGTCTCTGTAAGTAGGGATCATGCTTTAAAAAGAATGAAAAGGCTCGTTCAGACAGAACATCCCCTACTGAGAATGTCAGAAGAGATGCCAAGGACTGAGTGGGCTTTGGAGATGGGAAGACCACCTTTCTTTTTCTGGGGAAGGGATAGTATTAGGAATGTATGAAGAAAGCAGCAGCTCACTAAAGAGAGGATGCAGTCTGCAGAATCTTTCATCTGACACCTTTTATTACACAAGTTAAAAGGCAAAGGCAGCCTGTAATTCCATTGTGCCCTTTGAAGAAGAGGGTGCTGCTGAAATCGGTGAGAGTGTTCCAGACAATTTAAGTGGGAATAAGCACAACTACCGCTTAGGCAGCCTCTCATCTCAGCCTGTGGAAGAATATTCAGAACCAGAGTCTTGATCTGGTGTGGGGCCTCAGCAGCATCTCCTTGAGAGCCTGCTGGACCCAAGTCATCTTGATGACACTTTTGTCCAGAGAAGGTGTGAGCTCTCTGTTGTGTCTGGGTTTGATCACTCTGTGGCCATTAAGTTTGGAGATAGGGCTCCAGGAGATAGTTTTGCCAATTGGAGCCCAGTGATGGTTAGCTTTGTTATTGTCAACAGTATTTCTCCTCTGGTTGATTCCAGAGAGTATTTCCAGTCTCAAACTCCCCATTAATTAGTGGATGCAACGTGAGCATTAAAACCAGGGAGAACTCTCCATGCAGTGCCAGGCTTCAAAGGCCTAGTGTGTGGAATGGAAGCCAGGGTGGCTAATGCCTGAGAACATTGTTAATTGCACCCACATGCATGATTTTGGTAAAAGCATCTCTGCTGGCCCAAACTGAAATGCAGTGCTGTGTAACATGTTGTGTTTGAAACTGCTTAACACACCCTGGTGCAAAAATGTAGCATAAACAGCTTAACTCAAACCTTTTTTCCATGGGAAAACTTTTTGATGTGTCACGGTACTTACTGTGAAGGCACGTTTTTAGCACATTTATTATGGAAGGCCAGAGGTTTATGATGATAGCTGAAGAATGGAGCTCTGTTGGCAACTGAGAGTTTTCTTGTGATGTGAGTGCTGGGGAGGTTACTTGGACAGGAGGAGCATGGGGACAAGATCCAGCTATTTAGCAACACGTGGCAGGACATTGCTTTAGGCATGTGCTGCTTCCAGGAACTGTGTATAAAGTGAGTTGGTGTCCAGATCCTTTCCTTCTGCTAGGAAGGAAAAGTTGGTCATCTCTGACTCAGAGCTTCGTGGAGTGTGTTTGGGTTGGGGTTTGCCTAGGTTTTGTTTCATCAGAGTAATTTTTCCAGACTTCACTGGACTTTAAAACTGTGGTGAAAATACCTCCCTTCAAAAACATTGAAGTTCGTTGCATCTGTTGCTCTCTTTCTGTTTAGGATTTGTCTAGAGCGTTCTTAAAACCGATAGTGCTGAAACTTTTCCCCAAATAATATCTGTAAATAATCCTTGTTCTTTAGGAAGCAGTTCATTATCAACATTGATATCCCAGCTTCAAGTTGCTTATCTGTGACTGCATGCACAAGCCACATGGCATGTCTTGTCCTTGGCTGAGTAAATGTGACTCCCTAAATTGACTTGTTAGTGCAGATACACAAGCAGCTGCAAAATTTGCTTCCTAGTTATATTTATGTGGCTTCTGCAACTGCTCCTGCTTGTTGATTCAAAGCCTGAAAAGAAGAGGAGCCATCTTTATGATGCACATTTTATTCTGTGGTTACAACAGAAGGGTTATGACTCTTGCTCCCAGATGCATTGGTAATAACATGAAGGCAAACACAGTATGATATAAACCACCAGCATTGTTTCAGTCCTGGGGACAGAGACACATGCAAAGAGAGAAGCTCTTCTGTCTGCTTAATTTTGCCCTCTGTGAAATTTTCCCCTTTGTAGTATGTTTTGTTCTCTCTGGTAGCGGAGCCCTCTCCCATTCGCTCCCTCCGGGAATATTTTTTTCAGCACATGTGGCTTTTTTCTTCTGTTCTATGGGAATCCGAGTGGGGAGGGGACAGGCAGCCAAAATTAGGAAACTAGCAGGTCCTCTAAGCTCTGAGAGCAGGATAACAAAGCTGATTGCATTCAGCCATAACTTCTTGGTGTGCAGGATTGATAGATACTTCTGTGAGCACAGACATACTGAGTTGGAGGAGAGTTCTGTTAAGCAGTCCTCAGTCTCACTTTCCTTCAGTTACCTGGCCCTCTGTGAGCAAAGCTTTGGACTTGCTGCTGCAAGGACTGGCTGGGTTTGCAAGGGCTTGCGGAACCCAGTGTTCTGCCTGCTTTCCTCATGTGACCACCAGAACCAGGTTTCAGAAATGGGGAGGTGTTTGGGCCAAAGTTTAACAGTGTTCTCAGTCTCATGAATTATCTTTGTTATGCATTATTACTGTAATATCTGGGAATCCCTGTCTCAACATTGCTCAGTATTAATTAATTAATTAATCATTGTATTAATGGAGGAAAAAAGTCCTTTTCCCAAAGCAAGGCTTTCTGAAACTTGGGCTGTGTTACCATCACAGCAGCTTTGTGGATCAGGAGAAAAATAGGACAGAAGAGGAGGAGAACCCAGCCAACCGTGGATATATCATTCTTTTTTTTTTTTTTGTACAGGCAAATATAGGCTAACTGAAGCCTCACCATGATGCCACTAAAGAAGTGTTTAGTTTGGTCCAGGGCTTCTCTGAAGGAAGTAGTTTGGGGTATGCTGCTCACCAGTCTTTTACCCCTAGGGGGCACTCCAGGCTTAGGCTCACAGAGCTCCTGATGGCTGTTTCCTATTAATTATTACAGGATTTCGGGTGTTTCTGATCCCCTCCTCTCTCAGATGCTGTGTTTTAAAGCAAATGAAGGCTTATTTGTTCAGCGGAAACAAAAATGGTCTTCTTTTATCCTTTGCAGGTACTGTGTGGGTAGAGTCAGATTCTCGGACACTGAGTTTTCATTTCGCTGGAGGAAAGCTGCTGGGAGGAGAGCTCCAGTTCTGCTTGGGAGGATTGTCACAGTCCCACCATCCCCTCTGACCCTCAGGCCACTCAGGAGTCCCCTGGTGACACCTCCTTGACCTGCTGTGAGCTCAGCATGAGCTGACGCTATTCTGGTGCTCAGCGAGAGGACAAGGGGCAATGAGTACAAACTGAAACATAAGAGGTTTCAGTTGAATATGAGGAAAAACTTCTTTACTTTGAGGGTGACAGAGCACTGGAACAGGCTGCCCAGGGGGGTTGTGGTGTCTCCTTCTCTGGAGATACTCAAAGCCCGCCTGGATGAAGTCCTGTGTTACATGCTCTAGGAGTACCTGCTTTAGCAGGGGGGTTGGACTAGATGATCTCCCAAGGTCCCTTCCAACCCTTGCGATTCTGTGATTCTGTGGAATTTTTTTCTGTCTTGGCTTTGTTGTGGTGGCTGTGTCATGAGAACAGTCCATTGTCCTGTAAGGGGGGGGATGCTGTAGGGTGAGGATGTGCGTTTAGCCTGGGAGGCATCTTAGGGAAAAGAGTTACAAGTCTGTGCCATGCTGAACATTTTTAGTAGTCATGCAATAAAGGTCGTGGCTGAAATCTCCTGTGAGAGCAAGAAAAAAGATGTAGTGGGTCAGGCTACATTGGTCTGTCTAGTTCAATATACTGTGTCTGATCAGGGCTTGTAACAGATGGTGGGGGCAAAATTACAAGGGAAATGACAAGTATGAAAGGATCCCCCCTTCTTTCCATAGTCAGCAGTTAAGGGCTGTTCTCAGCCAAAGCTGGATTTGGGGCCATCCTGCTTCATAATCACTAATGGATCTGTCCTCCATTAATTTGTTTAATCCTCTTTTGAGTCTGTCTGTGTCTAGCCTCCATGACATCATCTGACAGTGAATCTTTCTAATTTTATATTGTAAGTGGGAAAAGTATTTTCTTTGCTTCTGGTGCTGCCTGCTTGT